ATCTAGAAGCTTTATCTAACATTAATGTCATGTCACTATGGCAGCATTTGCAATAACTTTTTTCATGTCATTTTTTATTTTTTTCTTACTTGACGAATTATAATTAGTTTTATTCAATTAATAATATAAATTATTATGTTTATAAAAAAATGAAAAAAAAATTTAAATATCTATGAATTTTTAATGATTGTCTTTTTAGAATATATTTTTTCGACTTAAATACAGTTTTGGTCCTCCTCTATCTATTTTGATAACTTTTTTGTCTCTTTTATAAAAAATGAGCATTTTATTCCCTTAGTATCAGATTTCATGTCTTTTTGGAGGTCTCCAATGACAAAACACTCTCAATTGCACATGTGGCATTAGAATCTATGAGGTGGTATTTTTTTTACTGTTGACGCGTCATTAAAAATTTTAAAATATTTTATTTTATTTTCTTAAATTTTTATTTTTAATAATTAAATATTTTTACTTATTCTATTTTATAGATATTTATTTAGAAATTAAATAATAATATTCTAAAATATATATTAGGGTCCAAGGTTCAATTTCTTTTAAAAAAGAGTCTAATATCTTGCAATATAATTAATGAAGTGTATAAGTATTTTATAAACACTAGGTTTTATACTTCAAAAATTGATATGAAACTTAAAGAAACAAGTTTGTCTTGATACTTCTTTCATTATATACAATACTACTTACCGATCTATCTTTTTGTTTATCCAATTTCCTTGGTAATCCTTTTTCCCATTCAATGATTGCAAAATCTTGCTCATTTACATCAGACATATTTGTTATCATTGATCCTGAAACAATTATTCTTTCCAGATTCATCTCCGCCTTAAATCATGTCAATGAACTTGGTTGCCATTGGCTTCTTGTTGCTTTGCCTCAAAATGCTTCTAGTTTGGATATAATAGGAAACAAGTGAGAGTTCAAGAGGTATGAAAAATCTTCTAAAGGTCTAAAAACATGTAAAAAACACAGACATTTTTATACACTCCATTTTCATGCTCAGTTCTCAACATAAAACTATATATCGAATTGTTCCTATCCTCCTACCGTGGAAAATACGACAACAGAAAAAATGCCTATAATATGAAATAACAAGGATATTGCCTCTACATAATGGAATTCTTCCACCTTCCACCTATAACTAGTATGATATCCGTGCGTTCGTATGGGTACCGGTCTGGCACTCACATTGAGTTAAAAAAAAATCATATATGAAGAAAAAATAGCCACAATTGAAGTCTACCATCACTCAATAGTTATAAACACTCGTATTGAGTTAAGAAGAGGTCATATATGAAGAAAAAAATAGTTACAATTGAAGTATATCATGATTCAACAATTATAAATTCACCATAATTCAATAAAATGCAAGTATTTTACTCATTACAATTTATATTCATGATAGAAAAATAGTATATAATTGATAGTAATGATATATATTGATAATAACAAAATAATATGAGACAAATATAAGTAATTATCTAATAAAAAAGTAATGTAAACCAAAAGATTTGTTGTACCAACATTCATAAATATAATACTGCCAAACATTATCCAATATATAAAATAAGTCGGTGCCTATAATTCTTCCAATATATAAAATTATTCGAATGAATAATATATTCTTTATATAATATTATTTTTGTTTTGGAATTGTTGTAAAAAACATTTAAACCAATAGTAAAGTTGTTCCATTAATATTCAATATTTTGATCGGTAATTTCATGTTTTCGTTAATATTCAATAATTTGATCAGTAACTTCATGTTCCCGTTAATGTTCAATATTTTGATCAGTAACTTAATATTTTTTGTTAATATTCAATATTTTGATCAGTAACTTCATATTCCGTTAATATTTAATATTTTGACCAATAACTTCATGTTTCCGTTAATATTCAATATATTGACCAGTAATTTGTTGTTCCCGTTAATACTCAATATACTTGCAAAAAAATATTTTAACTTCAAATATTACTATTAAATTGCCAAACTAAGTTTAAATAGTTAAAGTTTCAATGTGAAATATAAATACTTTTAATGATTGTTTCAAACTCAAACAATTCAATCTTCTTTAAAAATTATCAATTTAGAATCCTACCACTAATTAGTTATGTGTAAATTTATAATTAGACAATATTATATTTTATTAAAAAATATATTTTTAGTGGCTCATAAATAATATGTATTAAATTCAATTATTCTTTTTTAACATATTCAATCAATTTTAAATTGTATTTAATAGATATGTATAATTGGTATAAAAAAGTTGTTAATTATTAATTACAGGAAAGAAGTGAACTTCAAACTTCTTTGGCAACCTCTCCCAAAAAACAAACCTAGTTTTTTTATCTCTTCATCTTTCAGCAACTAATAATTTAAGGTTAATTAAAAAGAGAACTTTTAAAAAAAATCTCTGTAATTTTATTATTTTGTTTCTATCTTGCAGTATTTACTTTGTAGATAAAAAAGTTGAAGTTACTGGTATGAAAGTTTCAGCACATGCTTCAAAATCACCCAAGAGGTCATTTGATAAAAAGCATAATAGATGGCATAATAGCATAGAGGTTCAATGTCCTCTTAAGTCTAGATGAACTGGAAATATTTTACACACATATCATATTGTAGCTATTTAGAGTTTACAAATCTGTCTATTATTCAATGTCCTTGGTGAAGGATTGTACAAGTCATTATTACCATATGAAAGTGGGATCTAAGCACCTGCTTCACAATGGTAAACTTTTGATATATATATATATATATATATATATATATATATATATATATATATATATATATATATATATATATATATATATATATATATATATATATATATATATATATATATATATATATATATATATATATATATATATATATATATATATATATATATATATATATATATATATATATATATATATATATAGACATGCCATATTTTCTTATTATGCGTAAGAATTCTCCCAAAGTCAGACATTTGCAAGATTACAAATATTTCTAATGAGTTGAGAGTGTAATAAGAAGAAGTGGAAATGATTAAAAAGTATATGCTTAGTTTTCATATATTTAATTTAAGTTCAACCGCGCAACGTGTGAGCTATATTCTAGTTGTTACTTAAAGCACTACTCAAATTAAATTAAAGGGTCTAAACCTTATAAATTGGAGAATTAGAAGCATGACTGGAAATTTACCTCTACTACGGGATTTTCAAATAGGTAATCAGGTACCTCTACCACTCTTAAATCTGCATGTGAATCTGCATATGAGGCATCTATAATAACCATTAAGCCATTAGCCAAACTTGCTAGACTTGGGTAGTTAGAATCTCTCAAACTTACAAGCACATTAGAGCACCTTAATGAATAACTTTCTATAGAAAATTGTACCAACCCAATATGTAAAAACTGATATTTACTTTGAAGCATTCTAATGTCATCTCTTGATAGCAAATATATTTGAATTAGAAAAACCATCCAAACTATCAACACCAACTGAGAGGAAAACAAAAACATATTCAAACAGAAAACAATAATAAGCATTGGTAATAGAATTAGCTATAACAGAAGGCAGACTTAAGGAACATCTCATCATCATGCTCAATATGCAGACTCTTGGATACTTTCACCTGGACATCATTAGTTTTGGAAACTTTCACCTGGTTGTTATGTTCAATCTACGTCTGTTTGGATACTTTCGATCTCGTGGACAGAAGAAGAACCACTACGGGTCCTTGTTTCTTATTACAGACAAATACACAATAAATCCAACACATGCCAACAAATCAAAAATCAGCAAAATAACTTGCATTTGATAAAATTCTCATCCTCTCTTGTGGCTTCTGTCTGGACTTCTCTACTAATGAAGCCCTTTGAAGTGTGGACAGAGATTTTGTATATCATTGCAACAACATCAATTCACATAACTAAAGGAAAAAACACGAACAAAGAGAGTTAATAACCAAACACGTAATTTAAACTGCTGAAAAAATTACAATATGTAGATCGACAGAGTAGCACAAATCTATCTTACGGACATTAACAAAATAATCCAAAATAGTCATTTCTTAAGTACCATCCTCATCCCTTTAGTAATATCATGCAATTTGTGTTCCTATCATTTCCAACCAATTTTTATCTCATAACTATATGACAACAAACAAATAAGTTAAAATTAAGAAACAAACTTTATGGATATACATTATTTTGATAAATGGGATGCATAAAAACCTACGGATAGACAACCAAAATATTATAAATCATATAAATTTATATTACCCTTACTTCTTCACCTTAGTGCATATCTTCATGGGAGAAAACTTCATACCTAGCAAATTGTTATAGTGCTAGTATTATAATAGTACAAAATTCATTGAGATTGTTTAAAAATAGTACATTTCAACAATCTAAATAATTTCAATATGGTTGTCAAGAAATACAGTCCTTTTCCACAGGGTACAACCGTATCTGTCGCGGTTGGAAGAAATCAATAATATATTTATGTGCAGGGAGCAAAAAAACTAATGAAATCTGATCAAATAAGTTTGTATATGACTCTAATGAAATCTCAAACTGAAATGATTATGATAAAAGCTTAAAACAATTCACATTAATATTTTTTAAAAAGAGCATTTGAATTATATATCAAATCAGTACCTCAAAATTATATATCAAATCAGTACCTCAAAATGCATTAATTGAAAACAGAACATCCAAATAGAAGTTGTTGTAAGATGTTACCAGCTGTCAACAATCTATAATAGAATTTGTCAAACAAAATAAAATTATGAAATCGACGCCGCGACTATGTAAGATCAAAACATCAGTTACCAAAATTTTTTACCACAATCTTTCTACTGGAAACAGGATGGGAACACTACTTCTGAAATAGGAACTCTGCACACAACAAAATGGAAATACTCTTTGGTGGAAGTAATTGTCGATACGTGTTGCGTTTCCATGCAGCCCCAAGTTTCCCACAACTTCAACTACAAAAACATCAAATACATCAGTTAAAAGTGAATGTGTTATAATAACTAATTGGAGTTTAATTAATTAACATTTACACTGATCCTAGCACACTAAAGCATCCACATATCAAAAAACACTTCACTATCTGTAAAGAAGAAAAAAAACTCAGAAATACATTTTGATTCCATCTAATAAAATGCTCACCTATGACGTTCTTCCGCGGTTTTATCAAGAAAAGAACGATCAAAATTGTTCACTTCTCCATGGACAACTTCACTTTAGGTACATCAAGCCTTTCACAGAATTCATCATAGAAGGACAGTTAAAAACCCCAGTAACTTGCTCACAGTAACCAAATGACCATTCATCCTCTTCATAAACCTATAAAAGAATTATAAGAATGAACACTTTAATGATTGTTTATCATTTTCCGCATAATAAAAGACATCCAATGTATAGATTCAATAGCCAGAACAGTTTCTCTAACATAAAACATGGCTTCATCTTCAGTCAAGGTATCCTTTCTCATAAGTAGAGTCATCATGTCTCCACCTGATAGATACTCCATAATAAGATAAAGATACTCATCATCTTGGAAAGAACAATAAAGTTTGACTATGCAATTACTATCAACCTCAGCGAGTACATTCCTTTCCGCTTTGATATGTTCGACCTGAAAAAATTCACAAAAGAGGGGATAAGTATGAATCATGATGCCTTTATTAAACTCAAGCATAAAAATTTCTACTCTCTTGAATAACATCATCCATCAAAACAAAAGACTGTAAACCTGGCCTCTGCGAAGCATCTCTAATTTCTTTAGCTTTTTCATTGCAAATACATGATCAGTAGTCTTCTCTCTGCAGACTCTAACCTGCAACAAATTCAAATTTTAGGAAGAGCCAAATTGTTTTTGACAAAGACATATAAAGGAAAATACAAAAGAAAAACAAAATTAGTTGGGAAGTTCTGGCAGCTTTACACACAAAAATATAAGAATAAACTTGTGGTTCAAGAAAAAAGTGGATGTTTCAGTAAAAAACAATCTACAGACTGTTCAGGATCGCTGAGATATATGTATTTGGAGTTTTTGTAAGAAAGAGAATGGAGAAAATAAACACTTTTCTTCATAATAATTTTTGACTGTCTATTATTCGCGATGGCCAGTTTTGGTTCAGGAAGCCATGCCAGGCTGATCGTGTTTGGTTAGTTGGGAAATGGGAACGATGTTAGGGTTAAGACGTTGTTGCAACCGCATATCTGCCACAAAGAAACCGAACACTGCAGATATAGGTTTTAAAAAATCAAATCAAAATTAACAATATGTATAAGGTTACAAAAGCATCATAGTACCTTGTGATCACCGGAGTCGGTATCAAAGACATCAAGCTTGTAAATAAAGCATGGATTTTTCCCGGACAAATCTTCACCGTCTTCGACCTCTCTCTGGTCAACTCCGGGTTTCGCAACATAGTAGTTTCTTGATCTTGTCCACCTCCTTTAAAATGGATCATAACCCGCGTCCCCTTCTTTTAAAGCGGTTTTTGTTGGCCTTAATTCAAAAGCATTCTTGAAGTTCTCAACCCTGTTTTTTCTGTTCATTTCAGCCAGTTTCAGAGCTTTGGCGTCCTTCACCCACTGTTTGTATTCCTCTTCAAGTGGAGCATAGTCACTTACCTTCCATTTCCATTTTGTGGGAGAGGAAAAAACGGTGGTGGAAGTAATAGTTTTGGGGGTTACGATTTGGAAGAAACGAGGATAGTTGGTGGATGGAGAAATTATGGTTGTAGGAACGATTTATAACACACACAAAATAAGAAGAGGAAGAGAGAGGTAGAGCAGATGAATGAAAAACGTAACCGCTATACAAAGGTAATGGAATGAGGAGAAGTACGGATGATTGTGAAAGAAAATTTTGGTCAGAACAAATATTTGGTTTGCCTAACACACATGAAGCCACGTGTTATATTTTTGGAACAAAAGGACAAAATAGGATTTTTGGATAGAATGAATTTTCTTATATTACTAGTAACAAACCCGTGCTATCGCACGGGTCTCGTCTGGATTCACATTACATTTATAGATTATTAAATTATTAAGTATGTTACCATGTTTTCAGTTGAGTATATGTTTCATGTAAACCATGTTGGCATTTAACTCCATATTTGTAGCAAGCGTCGGTCCTATCAACAAATCACGTCTGCATGAACAAATAGGAAAAATTATATACTTCTTGAAATACATGGAAAATGTACATACTATATATTTTAATTCAAAATAGATTTTTAATTTGAATCGTAAAGTATAAGATATAAAGTTTACCAACTATCAAAGTGCTTGAAAGACTTCCTTGTACACAACATTAGTAGTAGTAGAACACGGTACATTCTCCTTGTCATGAATTAGGATTTTTAGCCCACTTTTGCTCTTAACTCTTGAAATTGCAACATATAACTGACCATGACTAAACACAGAAGTAGGCAAATACAATCCAACACTATCAAGAGATTGACCTTGTGACTTATTAATTGTCATTGCATAAGAGACAATAATCGGAAATTGTCTCCTAATCAACTTGAATGGCCAAGGTGAATCAGAATGTGACATAGACATTCGTGGAATGTAAAAAATGTTACCTATGTTCTTTCCAGACATGATTTTTGCCTCAATGACATGATTTGTAAATCTTGTAACAATTAATCTTGTTCCGTTGCACAACCCATCGGCTTGGTCCAAATTTCTCATTAGCATAATAGGTGTACCAACCTTCAATTTGATCCTATGATTGGGAAGCCCTGACGTTCTTAATTTACTGAGAAATTCAGGAGTTAGAACTTCATATGCTTCAGTATAACTTGAATCTGTTCTATCAATGGAATCAAAACTCAAATACTCTTTCTCTTCTCCTAAAAAAAAGTTTAAAAGCAAAACATAAATAAATTAGTAAAACTATGTTCTTAAATATATATTATGAATGTAATAATACAGTAAATATAAAACACATGTACCTGGTATCAAGTCTAATACATAATGATTGTGTGGGATTTTGGATCGAACTCTAGTATGATCGAAGTACATGTTGTAGTCGAAGAAGGGTCTAGCATGTATTTGTCGAAAATGCTTGTTAAATTAGGTTTTAGTGTTTAAACCCTAATTTGTTAAGTTAGCTTGTTTATTAAGTTAGCTTGTATAATGGGCCTTATGGAAAAAGCCCATTAGTTAGTATGTTAGGTTTTATTATAAATAGCATACTAGTCTCTCATCATTGCAATACACAGCAAATCCTAATTTAGGGTGAGAGGGTTATTTGTTATTCTTGTAAACTTGTAATCTTGTTTTCTAAGAGAAAGTAAAGAATAGCAGTTATAACCAATTCTTGTGTTCTTATTCTTCCTTGTTCTTTATTCCTCCCTTATTCAATACTTTGTTATTGGCATTGAATTCACAACAAATTGGTGCGGTGAGCGTGGAGAAGATGCCTTCAACAAAGTATGAGATTGAAAAGTTCACCGGAGTGAATGATTTCGGTCTATGGCGCTTAAAGATGAAAGCCCTACTGGTTCAGCAGGGTTGTTTGGAAGCGTTGAAGGGAGCGACGGCGATGGACGCTGCGTTAACAGAAAGAGAGAAGACGGCCATGATCGAGAAAGCACACAGCGCAATTTTGTTGAGCCTTGGTGATAAGGTTCTTCGACAGGTATCAAAGGAGACGACGGCATCAGGGTTATGGGTGAAACTTGAAAGTTTGTATATGACCAAATCTCTAGTAAATCGACTTTACCTGAAGCAAGCTTTGTATTCATTCAAGATGATTGAAGACAAAGTGTTGGCTGAGCAGTTGGATATGTTCAACAAACTGATTCTTGATCTTGAAAATATTGATGTAAAGATTGATGATGAAGATCAAGCGCTGTTATTGTTGTGCGCTTTGCCCAGATCACATGCTCACTTCAAAGAAACCCTCTTGTATGGAAGAGAGTCTCTGACCTTTGAAGAAGTTCAATCAGCTTTGTACTCTAAGGACTTGAACGAACGTAAGGAGCATAAACCTTCGACGGTTGGTGAAGGTTTGGCTGTTAAAGGAAAATTCGACAAGAGGAAAGGTAAAAATCAGTCGAAGTCTTATAGTGGTGACGCATCTGGTATTAGATGCTATCACTGTAAGAAAGTAGGTCACACAAGAAAGGTGTGCCCTGAACGCCTGAAAGATCATGGAGGTAAGGATAATGGCAATGCAGCTATTGTCCAAGATGATTTCGAATCATCTGATGTTCTTGTGGTTTCAAGCAACAACTCGTCGAAGGAGTGGATTATGGATTCTGGATGCACTTGGCACATGACTCTAAACAAAGACTTGTTCGAGGAATTATGTGATCAAGATGGTGGATCTGTATTGCTGGGAAACAACAAAGCTTGCAAGATTGCAGGCGTTGGATCTGTGAGATTCAAGCTCCATGATGAGTCAATAAGATTGTTGACTGAAGTCAGGTATGTACCTGATTTGAAGAGAAATTTGATTTCTCTTGGTGAATTCGACAAGAAAGGATATGTGTTTCAAGGAGAGAAAAGTATCCTGAGAGTCATGAAAGGGTCGAAGGAAGTCTTGAGAGGCGTGAAGAAACAAGGCTTGTATACCCTTGAGGCTGAAGTTGTAAGTGGTTCGACAAATGTTGCATCCACGAAACCTTTGTCGAAGACAGAAATTTGGCACATGAGATTGGGCCATGTCAGTGAAAGGGGTCTGGTTGAATTAGGGAAACAAAATCTGCTTGGTGAAGATAAAGTCGAAAAGCTGAAGTTTTGTGAACCCTGTGTACTTGGAAAGTCCTGTAGAATGAAGTTCAACAAAGGCAAACAAAGAACACATGGATCCCTTGATTACATCCATGCTGATCTTTGGGGGCCTGCAAGGTGTCCATCACATTCAGGAGCAAAGTATTTTCTATCCATAGTAGATGACTATTCCAGAAAGTTATGGGTATTCATCCAGAAGACTAAGGATGAAACTTTTGAGAATTTCAAAAGTTGGAAGACTCTTGTCGAAAATCAAACTGGCAGAATGGTAAAGAGGTTGAGAACCGACAATGGCCTTGAGTTTTGCAATGAGGCGTTCGACAGTTTTTATGTTGCCTCTGGTATTGCAAGGCACAGAACTACCGCAGGTACTCCACAACAAAATGGTTTGGCTGAAAGGTTTAATCGAACTATTTTGGAGAGAGTTAGATGCATGTTGACTAGTGCGGGATTAAAGAAGGTGTTTTGGGCTGAGGCTGTTTCGACAGCAGCATATCTGATAAACAGATGTCCTTCGACAGCGTTAGATATGAAGACACCTGAAGAATTTTGGTCGGGACATCCACCAGATCTCGACAAACTAAGAGTATTTGGCTGTGTAGCCTATGCTCACATTAGGCAAGACAAGGTCGAACCTAGAGCTCTGAATGCATGTTTATGGGATACCCTGAAGGAGTGAAAGCTTATAGGCTATGGTGCCTAGAGCCAGGTCACAGGAGGTGTATCACCAGTCGAGATGTAGTTTTCAATGAAACTGAAATGGCTTTCAAGAAGACTGATGATGTTGACGAAGAGCTGGAACAGGTAGAGATTCCTGTTGAGGTGGAGCATGTTGATGCTGAAATGCGTATCCCAGATGAAGTCGAAGAAGAAACAGAAGATTCTGATGATGTTGAGGAAACTGTTGATGACTACCTATTGTCGAGAGATAGGCAAAGAAGAGTCATAAAACCACCTCAGAGACTTGGATATGCAGATCTTGTAGCTTATGCCTTAATCTCTGCAAGTGAAGTTCTAGACGAAGAACCTAGAGATTATAAGGAAGTTATAAGGAGTCGAATGAAGACTGAATGGCTAAAGGCCATGCATGATGAGATGAAATCTCTTCATGATAATCACACTTGGGAACTAATCAAGAAACCTGTTGGGGCAAGGTTAGTCAGCTGTAAGTGGATTTTCAAAGTTAAGGAAGGAATTGAAGGAGTAATGTCGAAGAGGTACAAGGCAAGATTAGTTGCAAGGGGTTTCACTCAGAAAGAAGGTGTCGACTTCAATGATGTATTTTCCCCTGTTGTGAAGCACAGATCCATCCGAATGTTGCTTGCCATGGTGGCTCAGTTCGACCTTGAACTGGAACAAATGGATGTGAAGACTGCGTTCTTGTATGGTGACTTAGATGAAACAATCCTGATGAGGCAACCTGAAGGGTATGTCGAAAAGGGGAAAGAAGATTATGTGTGCAAACTGAAGAGATCTTTATATGGACTTAAACAATCTCCTCGACAGTGGAATAAGAGATTCGACAAGTTCATGGAACACATAGGTTTCATTAGAAGTCAGTTCGACCATTGTGTTTACTCCAGATTTCGACCTGAAAATTCATTTGTTATTTTGTTGCTTTATGTTGATGATATTCTGATAGCAAGCAACAATGTCGAAGATGTAATGAGGGTGAAGGCTGAACTCAATAAGGAGTTTGACATGAAGGATCTGGGAGCTGCATCTAGGATTCTTGGAATTGACATTCGAAGAGATAGAAAGCAGTCGAAATTATGCTTATCTCAAGAGGCATACCTACGAAAGATTCTTGACAAGTTTGGTATGTCGAATTCAAAGCCTGTTGTGACTCCAACAAACCCTCAATTCAAGCTGAGCATTGATCAATGTCCCAGTACT